CCAGCAAGGGGCAGAGAGAGAAAGAAAAGAGGGCGAGGGGGACACGCAGAGAAAGGCAAGCCAAGGCGCCAGCATCCCCTTAAAGACAGGCAACGCCAGAAAATAGATGCAACATTCTCCCACGCCGTCGATTCGGTATGATCCAATTTGTCGGTTTGGAGGGGATAACAACTCAGACGCGTTCAGCAGCTGGCCGGGCGAGGAATTCATCGGGCACCGCATGGCGCCGTCAAAGCTTCGGAAATCCGAAATTCGAGACGGATTCCCCGTGCTGCCGCCCGCAGCCCGGTTTCCCTGGGCTCCTGCAACTCTCCCAAATTGAGGGTGCATGCGCCACCACCACTATTATTATCAACCAGGTCCTTCCCGCAGAGGAAAACACACACATCAATCGGTCGCAGTTATGGCCTGCTGGAGGCCTCTGTGGGAAGGGGCTGGCGGTGGCGTGGGCTGCGACAAGGTCCCTTCGGTCCGACAGACTCCGCACCTACGCATCCCTCTCTCACCGGGCTGGGTTCTCCGTTCGTTGGTTTTCACCGTCCGTTGGGCGCTTACCCAATGGGTGCGGGGCAGCTGAATTCGTTGGCCGTTCAGCCGAGCCCCGGCGCAATCGTATGGGTGACGCAGCGCCGACTCACGCTCCTCGTGTTCTGTCCATCCCGCACGGAGGGCTGCCGTGGCCGCCGTAAAAAGCCTCCGAGGAGACTCCGGGCTCCGACAACACCGTGAAGGAAACCCTTCCACCCTGCAGCGCGGCAAGCCCCGTGCGGTGGCCCCATTCAAAATCAAACAAATGGAATTCTCCCCCCTCCACGATGAACACGCGCCCTCCGCGTGGGGCACCATGTCTGGCGCAGATGCCGGGCAAAAATAAAATGAACACGCCGCTGGGACGTTGCCCCGCCCCCAAGCAAAATGCCTGTGCGGTGGCCATCGCGGTTCGGCGGCCTGCCCCACAAACGTGCGCCTCAACAACTCTGCCCTTTGCGCTGCCTTTGCGGCAACAAATTGAAAGAAGCATATTTCCAACCGGGGCAGTTTCCGGCAAAATAATAATAATTCACAGCGCCCGCCCCCTCGTCTCCAAAAATCAAAATAATAATAATAATAACAATAAAAGAAAAAAAAAGATATATATTTATTCCGTCCAAATTGGGCCCCCTAATGCCCACGCAGCGTGAATCGCTCATTGCGGGCACCTCAGCATGTTGGCGGGTCGCCGTCCCGCCCGCCAGCTTCTTCCTCCGCGCAGTGCAAAGAAAGCCGTCGGTGCTGTGCGTGTGTGGGCGTAAGGCGCCGACAGCCAAAAGTGGCGCCCGCCCCTCCCTGCAGAAAGTGGGCAAAAGTAAAAAAAAAAAAACCAATTAAAAAAGACAAAAAAAAGAAAGAAAATTAAAA